TTCTCATAGGTAGAGGGTGAATGGGCGGAGTCTACATCAATCAATCATTGAAAAATCCAGCGTTCTCATTAGCGGAGGGTGAGTGGGCGGAGTCTACATCAATCAATCAGTGAAAAATCCAGCATTCTCATTGGCGGAGGGGTGAGGGGCGGAGTCTACATCAATCAATCAGTGAGAATGTGATCAAGTGTCTTGCTCTATATCTCTGGCCGAAACAGACCAGTGTGTAAAAATAAGACTTGGACATAGTATCTGAAAAGTGTTCAGAATATGAACGTCTAATGCGCTACTCAAAAGATAAAAAAGAAAAAAACATTTATTTTAAAGAATTTGGTAACTCACATTAGCTCTTTTACATCACACATTTCACTTGTTTGGGTTAATGTGAAAAATCAACCAACATACTGTACAGCCAAAACTAGAAAAGGGCATTTTATTGCATTAAAAAGCTGAGCATACAAAGATTATATACAGTATATTGTAGTTAAAAAATTTTTTTTTAAAAAGGACTTTTAAAACATGCAATCCAACAAGTAGGCCACTGAAGCTGCTGGTAGATTCATGCATTATCAGACAGATGAGGATGCTCATTCAGTCTTCGCTTGAGTCCGTTTGGGTTTGTGATTCTTCTTGAGTTTCTCCAAGCGTCTCAAGACTCCGAGATCAGCACAGATCCACTTCCTTCTGATGTGCAATCTGTAGAGCAGTAAACACAGTTAATGCAGGAGCACAGGACTGGTCTGTGTTTGTGTTTGTGTGTTAAACACTCACATCAATGCATCGATGTCACAGACACCAGATTTGCGCTGGATCTCATATTTGGAGACCAAACGCAGCTTGCTCCGAGGGATGTTCTTTGAAACGCTCACACAACAACTGGGAATGGCATCCACTGGAACAAAAGCAACATCTGGCATTGAATGAGGGTTAAATCTTCTCCTAACAAAAGCACACACACTAGGTTGTTTTGAGCTCAGGAAAGAAGGACAGAGACAGATAAGTGTTCATTTATAGATGTTGCCATAAAGCAGCGCGGTGCGTGTCACGACAACATCCCTGCTGTCCACACTGACTCACCATCTATTCAAGCTGCTGTACAGGTATGTGTGTCTCTGGCAATCAAACACATGACTTTACTGACACCGTTCTGACTTACAGGAGCATACTGATGCATCAGCTTTACTTTGTGCCAATCTGGCATTTCTGCTCAAAAATGACCGGCCCTTTAAAAATTGCTTGTGCTTTATGCTTTTTAAAAATGATTGGTCTGAGTTCATGCACTTCAGTTTTTGAGTGAAAAGGCATTGTTTGTGGATGATTTTGGTTTAAAAACTGAGGTGCGATCAATCAAAAATCCTCTCTGAGTCAAAATGACTGGAACACGTGGAAGCTTGTTTCTGCCATGGGAAAAAAATTGAATAAAAATAAAAACGAGTTAATTGTGATTAGTTTTTTTTTAATCTAAATTCTGGCTTATTTTCTCATAGTTTTCAGGAAAAAAGTTGTAATTGTGAGTCAAAAAGTTGCAATTACCTTTATTTTTTTATAATAAACTATAATATAAGCAGTGTTGTTGGTAACGCAGTACAAGTAACGTGAGTTACGTAATCAGATTACTTTTTCAAGTAACTAGTAAAGTAACGCATTACTTTTTAATTTACAAGAGAATATCGGAGTTACTTTTTCAAATAAGTAACGCAAGTTACTTTTTTTCTCCAGTTTATTGATTGACAGCTCTGGTGTCGCCATGGTGACAGAAATCAGAAGATGTTACTGTAGCTCTAAAATAAATATGAATATGCATTAATTCATCTCACTCACACAAAACACAGATTCAGTATTCCTCAAAATGAATAAAAATAACGCAACTCAGAATATGACGCAAACCTGCACAAATATGCTTTATGTATTTAATCCCATTCTATTAGCTTCCGATGATGCAGTTCAAGCGTACTAATAAGCACACATTACTCTCGACGAACATCTGTGTGTCTTTGTTTATTGCTGAAGTGTGTTGAAATGTCTTCTTCTGCATTCTACTGTACTTTCCCTTCAGCCTGAGGCGCATTCATTTCACTTTTGGTGTGAAAAGGCTTTTATATTTGCCAAAAATAGAACTTTTTTATTTTAAAAACAAACAAGCAAGCCCTGTCCAGATTTAAAAAGTGACGCGAAAGTAACGTAAAGCACTACTTTTCATAAAAAGTAACTAAGTAACGTAATTCGTTACATTTTATGGAGTAACGCAATATTGTAATGCATTGCTTTTAAAAGTTACTTTCCCTATTCCTCAAAATGAATAAAAATAACGCAACTCAGAATATGACGCAAACCTGCACAAATATGCTTTATGTATTTAATCCCATTCTATTAGCTTCCGATGATGCAGTTCAAGCGTACTAATAAGCACACATTACTCTCGACGAACATCTGTGTGTCTTTGTTTATTGCTGAAGTGTGTTGAAATGTCTTCTTCTGCATTCTACTGTACTTTCCCTTCAGCCTGAGGCGCATTCATTTCACTTCTGGTCTGAAAAGGCTTTTATATTTGCCAAAAATAGAACTTTTTTATTTTAAAAACAAACAAGCAAGCCCTGTCCAGATTTTAAAAGTAACGCAAAAGTAACGTAAAGCACTACTTTCCATAAAAAGTAACTAAGTAACGTAATTCGTTACATTTTATGGAGTAACGCAATATTGTAATGCATTACTTTTAAAAGTTACTTTCCCCAACACTGAATATAAGTTGCGAGATATAAACTCTTATCTTATTTAAAGCAGAATTGCAAGAAATAAACTCAGAATTATTAGAAAAAAGCTGATATCTTGCAGTTATGACTGAGTTTGCAATTGTTTTTTATTTATTTATTTAGGTATTCTGCCATGCATAAAAAGCTAATAAAAAGGTCACTTTTTATTTCACAGTTCCATGTTTTTTTTTTGAGTTGCAATTCTGAGTTTGAGGGGAATAAACACAGAGAGAGAACAACTCAGAATTGAGATCAAAAGTTGCACGCGGTGCTTAATTTGATCCTGTTGCCGTTTAGTGACGTCCTGGAATATTCTGGGAAAACTTCCTCGGAACAAATGAAGCGCTGGTCGCAAGATTAAATCCAGATGTGCACATTACATTAATGTAATCAACACTGAGCTGAATAGCAATACTTTTGTGTTTTTAGAGCTATTGAAGAACAGAGTCTGTATTGTATGAAGCATTAGGCCTATAAACGTGACTGACTTTAAAAGCAGCAAATGCATAACCCAAAATTGCACTAACCTAAACATTTAATAAAAGTCAATATTACATGCTACAACTTGCATCAACAGCACATCTGCATCATGTTTATTTAAAAAAATAATCATGAATCCTCATGTGAGATTGAGTTGATTCTGACCTTCAGCGCTGGTGAGGATGATGATGGTGACGCAGACGAGCAGCAGCACAGACGTTGCTTTGAGCTCCATGCTTGAACAGCACTGAGTGTGAATGAAGAGAGAAAAGCTGATTTAAAGCCATGCATGCGAGTCCCGTTCCGCCCTCATCGCCAGGCCTGCCCAGACTCATCAGCAGTCACAGCAAAGAAAGCACTTTACGAATCGGTTATGAAATCTCTTTTATATTTTTGCTGCAGGTTATGCGTGACACTGGTCTCATTAGGAGTGTGTTGTTCAGCAGTGTGTTGGTTAGGGTCAGATGCGGGTGGCTGGGTGTGTTCTGTAACTGCGTTGGATGTTCAAGCTTGTCTGTTTTACTTTCTCTCTTGATACTGTTACAGGAGTTTCACCCTTCACCTTACAAGAAATCCCGCTTATTAGAATATGATAAACATATTCAGTGCAAATATAGATCAAATCTAAATCACAGAAGAGTGAGTCATCTAAAGGGATCAATGAGCTGATATATATGGTTTAATTGAGTTTCTGAGTCTTGCATTTGTGTGTGTGTGTGTGTGTGTGTTTTTATTTCTTTAAAAAAAAAATTCTTTTTATCTCACAATTCAGACTTTTTTTTGGCTTGCAATTCTGAGAAAA